ACCTCGTGATCTGCTTGCCTCGGCCTCCCAAAGTGCTGGGATTACAGGCGTGAACCATGGCCCCCGGCCTCTCTGAGTAATTTTTAAATGTGCAATAAATTATTATTGACTGTAGTCACCCTGTTGTGCTAAAAACTACTAGATCCCTAGATTTATTCATTCTATCTAACTATATTTTTGTATCCACTAACCATTCCAACTCCCACTTCTCACCCTGCCCACACCTACTCTTCCCAGCATCTGGTAACCATCATTCTGTTCCCTCTCTCCTTTTAAAAGAAATTTTTCTCCTTTTACCTTATTTTTTCCACACACCTTAAAATTATCATTCTATTTTCTATCTCCATGAGTTCAATTATTTTAATTTTTAGTTTCCACAAATAAGTGAGAACATGCAAAGTTATGTCTTTCTGTGTCTGGTTTATTTCACTTAACATAATGACCTCTTGTTCCATCCATGCTGTTGCAAAGGACAGGATCTCATTCTTTTTTATCTCATTCTTTCTGAATAGTACTCCATTGTGTATGTGTACCACATTTTTTAAATCAATTTTTTATCATCTGTTCATAGACACCGAGGTTGCTTCCATATCTCGGCTATTGTGAATACTGCTGCAGTAAACATGGGAGTGCAGATATCTCTGTGATATACTGATTTCCTTTCTTTTGGATATATGCTTAGCAGTGGGATTGCTGGATCATATGGCAGCTCTGCTTTTAGTTTTTTTCAGAAATCTCCAAGCTGTTCTTCATAGTGGTTGTACTAATTTACATTCCCACCAACAGTATATAAGGGTTCTCTTTTTCTGTACATTCTCACCAGCATTTATTATTGTTTGTCTTTTAGAAAAAAAGCCTTTTTTTTTTTAAATTTCTTTTATTTTTTAAAGACGGGATTTCACCATGTTGGTCAGGCTGGTCTTGAACTCCTGACCTCAGGTGATCTGTCCACCTTGGCCTCCAAAGTGCTTGGATTACAGGCGTGAGCCACCGCGCCCGGCCATAAAAGCCATTTTAACTGGGGTGAGACGACATCTTGTAGTTGTGAATTACATTTCTCTGATAGTCAATGATTTGAGCACCCTTTTTATATACCTGTTTGCCATTTGTATATTTTCTTTGAGAAATGTCTGTTCAGATCTTTTTGCCCATTCTTTAATCTGATTTCTGGATGTTTTCCTATAGAGTTGTTTGAGCTCCTATGTATTCTGGTTATTAATCCCTTGTCAGATGGTTAGTTTGCAAATATTTTCTTTTTTTTTTTAATTTATTTTATTGCAGGCCAGGCGTGGTGGCTCACGCTTGTAATCCCAGCACTTTGGGAGGCCGAGGCGGGTGGATCACGAGGTCAAGAGATCGAGACCAGGCCGGGCGCGGTGGCTCAAGC